GCTGCGTTCTAAGAAAAGTAGTAATCACTGTATGCACATTTTCTATGTAATGTTTTCAACAATTCTATAAATTAGATTTTGTGTCTCCAATGTTGGGGAAAAGAGTATCTGAGATTTAAGCAACTTAGTCACATTAACGTATGTGGGGTAGAGCTAGGGCCCAGACACACTCCCTGCCATGGTCTCTCATTCTGAGCTGGGCTGGGGTGTCTTTTCACTGCTCACTAGCTGTGTGGCATCACACATTCTCTCTGACCTCTGCCTCCATATCTGAAAAGTGAGGAGAGTGATCGTGGATGTTTCCAAGGCAGCCTGGAAGCCTGAGGCCAGGCATGCCTTTCTGGCTATCTTCAATTCCTTTCCTATGCTTCCTTGGTCCTTGATTTTGCCATCATTGCTTATTGTTACTTTTGGTAAACATGTCGGCTAGACCAGGTGTAACCCACCAGACCTTTAATGAGTCTCTCTGCCTTACACAAGGAGTCACAGCAGGGCCTGGATACACCAGTGGCCAAGTCCAGATTCTGGGATGCGGGTGTTTCCTTTTTTGCTGAAATCTGCTGTGAGTTGACTGTAGCTCAACTGCTCTAAATGTTCAACCTGTGTAATCTACACAAAGTTTTGAGGAGTGGATTGCTGTGATTCCCATCACACGGTGGAGGAAACTGAGGCACAGAAGCCAGGTTGCCTGCCAAATCGTTTGTTTGTCACTCAGGTTGGAGCACAGTGGCTCACTCATGGTCACCACAGTCTTGACCTGCTGGACTCAGGTGATCCTTCTGCTTCAGCATTCCAAGCAGCTGTAACTACAGGCATGTGCCACCAAGCCCAGCTAATTTTTTAATTTATTGTAGAGACAAAGTCTCACCAAGTTGCCCAGGCTGGGTTTGAACTCCTGGGCTCAGGTAATTCTCTGGCCTTGGCCTCCCAAAGAGCTGGGATTACAAGCGTGGACCACTGCGCCCATCTTGCCAAATCTTAACAAACAAAAAACTTGTAAATGTTCGAGCCTGGATTTGACCCTTCCACATTGGCACCAAAGTCCTCCTCTTATTTAACCCTGAGGCTCTTTAGTCCCCATTCTTTCTTTCCAGGTTAATGTGGTGAGATCACCCTGCGGAGAACACCAAGATGCATCCACAGCAGATGCTCGAAGAAGTCCTGGGCCCTCTCATTGTACAAGGCATGCTGTCAATGTGTGTGGACACAAAGACATGGGAACTGGGCTCTGCCCGGGAGCCTCAGTTGTGAGCACAGTCAAGAGTGTGGCATGGGAAGGGAGGTCCCATCTGTGGAAGTCCACTGTGGTGGGAGGGGGAGTCAGCGCTGGCGTGGTTACTCTGAGACACTTGCTGATGGGCACCTTGTCCACTGAGACTTAGAAGAAGGAAAACGAATGAGCAGATGGAGGTGGGTAAAGATGAGACTTCCTGGCAGAGAAAGAGACAGAGGCCACAGAATGTAGGTGATCCTGTTCTCTGACAGGGAGCAGGATCTCCCTTGCTGGGACGTCTCACTCCCATGCAGACTGGCAGGACACTGGTCACTGAGAAGGGGTGCAGACTCTGGGTCCAGATTCCTTCACAGTTTCCTGAGTGCAAATGTCTTCTTTTGTTGCCACAGAGCAGAGACAACCATGAGCATCTTCAGTGGGGAGAGTAGTGGAGAAGAGGGGCTTTCTCGCACCAGCGGTGGGCAGTGTGGAAGGAGCGTGAGGCTCAGAGTGGCATCAGCAGTGGCCAAAGAGCTAGAGAGAAGAAAAGCAGGGGAAAGGGGAGACCCAGTTTTCTCACAGGCACCAAGAAGGCAGAAAAACGGATGGAGCCTGAGGCAGAAGATGAAGAACAAGTCTCCACAGACAATGCACTGTGCAATCTGGGTGCGTTGACTGTCGATACAGGACAGATCGGGTTGGGGGGCCCTTCTGAATATGCCTCCCACTGTCCTTTGGCATGGATATCACTGCCAGGAGATGGTGAGGTCACCAAAAGATAGACTGTAAAGACCACCAGCAGAAACTTGGAACCTGGCCATCCTGGTGGGTGGGGCAGGAGGGCCTGTGGGGCCACCCCTGTGGGCTCCTAGGAGAGAAGGGGCTGGGGGACAGGTGTCTCAAATCATGGCGAGGGATCGTGAGTGCAAATAGCACTTCTAGAAGGATGACGGAGGAGAACAAGATTTCAGCATCAGTAATTAGGACATGTTGGGTATACTTAGGGGGCTCTTTCAGCAGCAAAGTGAGTCTTAGCTGGTGGCCCGAGGTGAGGATGACAGGTCAGGAGTTGGGCCAACAGAGGGAGGTCAGTGTGTCATCCACAAGAAGACAGGAGTGAGTGACCCATTCTTGGTGCAGACAGGAAGGGGAGTGGGGAGGTAAGAGCAGAATCTAGGGACCTTCAGTCAGGGAGAGTCATTTACAACATGCAAAACAACACTCCTCCCCACCCCACCCCCGCCCGGG